TGTTTGAAAAAAAACAAAAAACAACTGGTAATTTGTTATTAACGAGATGTAGCTTATCAATGAACTGTGTGGTTCAATGTGCGAACGTGTCATGTACGTAACAGCGAGTTATGTTATCAATGCTGCCAAATTTAATGTATGTTTACACGCTAGCGCCTCTCCCCTGGATTTAGTGTGTAGCTTAATATGCTTTAAAAGTCTATGTAATCATACTGAATTAAAAAAAATATTTTTTAAAAATATGGCAGCGATACAATTATATGTGTATTTAAAAAAAAAATAAAGCCGTTTGGGAACCATCGATTACACTCTTTTTCATTTTTTTTGTATTAAATATAAGCCGTTGAAAATAATTTTAGAATTATTTTATCAATTCAGATATCTAAAAAAATCAACGCCTCCAACCCTTCCTTGAAATCAACCCGGAGTGGCCAGGGAAAGTAAAACAATGAAAGTCACAACAATGTCTTCATCATAAAATATACAATAGAGGTCAATGGGGTATAGCCTAGTTCTTAGTTTAATTATATTAAATAATATAACACCCCCTATCATCATAACACCCTGACTCTACTAATCACAATTAAAAACAAAAGTGTTGACTGAATTTCCATTATATTACTAGTAATTATTTGTTTGAATATTTCTAGTCTTAATAAAACCATAACTCATTTAGCACTTATTTCTCAAATGTTATAAAATATTCAATTTTGGTTGAAAAAGATGCTTTCTGGCAACAACCAAATTTTGGAACCAGCTTTTCAAGCTATCGTGTTTTTTTTAATCGAGTACACTTCGAAAATTATAATGTGTGTCTAATTAATTTACAAAACAAAAACTGTTATGTTAAATTTCTTATTTAGAAAAATATTTATACTAAGGTAGTTTCTAAATGATGAAAACTAGGCATTTAATGACTGTTGGCATTTCATAGGGAAATTGAAATTTGTCTTTTTTAAATTTAAAATAAAATTGATATTTTTTGTTTAATTCTATATCTACATTTACATTTTTTTACAAGCTAAATGTACTGGAAAGATTTTTTTAAGCAACCAATTAAATGTGTTTGGAAGATTTCTAGGGCGACCTACAAAATGAACTGGGAAGATTTTATCAACAGTGTTTCTTCCAGACTTTTTTTCTCCGGGGGGGGGGCACTTGAAACTTTCGGGGGTGCGGTAGACTTTCTTCGGGGGCGGGGGGCGGACACTGTTAAAAGTATATATTTTCTATATAAATTATATAAATTTCATTTCGTTCAGGGGGGGGGGGGGGTAAAAAAAATTTCGAGGGGGTAGGGGCAAAAGAGATGCCTGGAAGAAACTCTGTTTATCAAGCGACCAACGAAGGGTACGGGAAAGATTTCCGGAACGACCACCTTAATGTACTGGAAAGAATTTTTTTTTTGAATAATTAAAATTACTGGGATGTTTTCTTGAAGGACCAACGCTTTTATAAATAAGTAAAAAAATGAAATTATATTTGGTATTCCTGTATTGAGCTAAAACTGTGTTGAAATAGCAAATACATCGCCATTTTTAAAAATGTGCCCAGCCATAAAATATGAAAAAAAAAATCTGTTTGACGAATACTTTTAGTGTTAATTTAATGTAAAATATTCTAAAGTATTATTTCATGAGTTACCATTTTTTTTTTAAATTTTACTTTACGTTTTCTCTAACTTTCAAGAATATATTCTAGAAAACTCCATTACTTTATAAAAAAAACAACTGTTTATTTGTAAATACAGCGAGATGTTGATACAGCTAATTGAAGGCTCGTCTGGCAGACTCGTTAACATGTGCGCCAGATGCAGGTAGATCGGCAGGTAGAACGGCAGGTAGATCGGCAGGTAGAACGGCAGGTAGAACGGCAGGTAGATCGGCAGGTAGAACGGCAGGTAGATCGGCAGGTAGAACGGCAGGTAGAACGGCAGGTAGAACGGCAGGTAAAATGGCAGGTAGATCGGCAGGTAAAATGGCAGTTAGAGCTGCAGGTAGAACCGCAGGTAGAACGGCAGGTAGATCGGCAGGTAGAACGGCAGGTAGATCGGCAGGTAGAACGGCAGGTAGAACGGCAGGTAAAATGGCAGGTAGATCGGCAGGTAAAATGGCAGTTAGAGCTGCAGGTAGAACCGCAGGTAGAACGGCAGGTAGAACCGCAGGTAGAACGGCAGGTAGATCGGCAGGTAGAACCTCAGGTAAAATGGCAGGTAGAACCGCAGGTAAAATGGCAGTTAGAGCTGCAGGTAGAACCGCAGGTAGAACGGCAGGTAGAACCGCAGGTAGAACGGCAGGTAGATAGGCAGGTAGAACCGCAGGTAAAACGGCAGGTAGAACCGCAGGTAGAACGGCAGGTAGAACCGCAGGTAGAACGGCAGGTAAAATGGCAGGTAGAACCGCAGGTAGATCGGCAGGTAGAACGGCAGGTAGATCGGCAGGTAGAACCGCAGGTAGATCGGTAGGTAGAACGGCAGGTAGATCCGCAGGTAAAATGGCAG